CTACCTCAGTCGACCACAGAAGTCGACCACTTCCGAGGTAGCCGTAAAAGAAATGTCGACTACTAGGACGGTGGGAGCAAACAAACGGATTCCTGCCCAGAGGCTTAATCTCCGCAAACCGCGGTGGAAACCACGATTTCGCTGCCTAAGTCGACCCAGAAGTCGACTTTGTTAACGGTAGTGGACCAGAGAAACTTATGGTATGGCCGACCACAAAACTCGACCATAACGACCAACCGATGTCGACTCGACGGAAGAAGGGGCAGAAGTCCCAGATCGGAACCACTACTGCTACCGTCTAAAGTCTGGCCGAATTCTCCGTTTGAACCCAGACCTACTGGCTTTCAACTAGAAACCTGTACCCGGAGCCCAAACCGAAGCTCCCCCGAAGGACATCGGGTAAACCAGGAGATGGAGAACAATCTCTCGATGGATGAATCCATCTGAAAGGAACTGTTTTGGCCCTACTTAGACCCGAAACATCACAAGCAGCCTTGGTCGACCACCGGCGCACGGAATGGCCGACCACTCGTCGTATACCATTATGACCGACCACAGGTCGGCTAACAGCGGAACACTCGGCATAACTGGATGCCGACCAACATGCTATCGGATGAAAATACTACTAATGGCCACAGAAGCGTAAGGTAGTAGTCGACCGACCATTTCCACCGCAAAAACTTAAATTTACGACCGGATGTTCGAGCCAGTTTGCCTCGGATAAAGTCATAACCAGGCTCGTGGTAGCAAATTGAACGGTTTTAACCGACCAATTCTGAACTGGATTACCGTACTGGCCGACTACAGAACTCGCACAATGGAAATATGGTATTTCCGACCTGAACTGAACTTTGGAATTCGGAACTTAGCCGGATTTCCATGCCGTCGGTCGACTTACCAGCAGGCCGAGCTTGGTCAACCGACATCGGTCCAACTTCCCATTTACAGAGGATGCCTTGGCATTCGCAATTGCGACAGTAGGCCCGATCAATCCTAGCTAATCTTCTCAAGAAAGATATCGCGAAATAAAATGTGAAAGCAGAATGCGTCACCGATTGATGACACACAGCAAAAAATACAAATGCGTTGGACCAGTAATAAGCAGTGGATCACCACAGAAAACGCAAGTACTGACTGTTAAATGAATCGTGCTGCGTACACACAAACGAATTGTCAGCAGGGCCGCAGGCGCGTTTTAATCCGCATGCTTGAGGTGTCATTAATTAATGCAATAATTTACAACTTAACTGAGGAAAAGAATGTATCCATTTACTCAATGTAACTTAGCTAATTAATACGCGTTATTAATTAATGTAATTAGACTTAATTACAGTAACGCAACCTGCACAATATTACAAATGTCCATTGATAACTGTAATCACTAATAATAATTACTTTAATTACTAATCGTAATTACTAAATTAACAATCACTAATAGTCTGGTAACAACAACTAGTAACAACTTTTCAATCTAAGTGAGGCTAAATTATTAATGCGGATTAATACCTGACCACATTTTATTAGCAAATTAGCAATTAGAATGCTTTAATATTTACTATATGTTACGGGTTCCGGTGACCACCGTGTAAAGCTCGGTTGGCTATGCACAACAACGGAGGTGAATGTGTATGTGAAATTGAAAACGCAGCTTCGAAGCTGCGTTTTGTAATTCATCTGTGGATCACGTAGCGGACCAATGAGCGCAGCCGTTAGCTTTCGGCTTGAGAATGTTGTGGTGACTAACTCGCGTTATCTTTCACGGGCGCGCAAGAGAGCGTTGTGCCCTACTTCAGCAAAAACATCTGCCAAATGTTTAGCCAGGTCTGATCAGCACTAGTGCCTATCCAGTCTCCAATCGCAACGAAAGGATACGAGTCGGAAGTAAGCGTTCAGCCGTGCTCATCCGGCCTCGGTGAACTTACCCGGTTACAACGGGTAACGCGGGAACCGACGCCCCGGACCCAGTACACCGGCCAACATTTAGATAGGAGACCCCGTGGAGATTCAAGTCCCCGTGCACGTCATTCTAGTCGGAATAAAGCCCCCGGACAGATTTTTGTAATTTTTTGAGCAATTTTCCTAACAAACGGAATTGTATTTTTCTAGTTAGATCTCTTTAACAGATCTGTTTTGTTTAACTCTTTTTTGCTCACTGGAACTGTGATTAAATTTTATCGCACATTTTTCTTTCGCGCTGCGTAACTTTCATAACACTTTTTTCTTCTTTACATTTTACTCCGATGCCAAGAGAAGCAAGAAGCCGGCCAACAGACGCATCACCGGTCCAACAAAACGTTCGAGCGACTTCCGGATTTTTCGGCCGTGAGGTGCATGCCTCTTATGGGTCTAGAAGTGAACGATGGGACGGTCAACCGGATACCGGACTCCCGTAACGCGTAACGGCGACCCCACCTGGGTCCAACCGGAGAGTTGTGCAGAACAGTGGTGCGGTACCGAGTCTGAGCTAGAGCCCTGCAACGGACTGGGAAATCCGATCCACTCCGAACTCACTCCGATTTTCGGACCGGATTGGACGGATTTCAATCTGGAAAATTCGGAGTCGGAGTGGTTTCGGAGTTTATGTGCACCTGATCGGATCGGGTTCGGATGCAATCAAGACTCCGAATAATCCGTAATTAAATAAATTTTATTAATTAAATTTTATTGGATTTCACCGGCCTTCAAAACAAAAATTTTCGTCAGCTTCGCGCTTCGCGCGATGCTTCCATTTGCGCTTAATTAATTTGCACCGAAGTATCTGCTTTTGTTTAGTTGACTGTTGTTAATTCTCTTTCACTTCCTTTTATTAGTTCTCCTGACACTTTTTAATATTTAGAGTGTTTTACGATTGTTATGATGTCGTTATTTGTTATTGTCTTATCAAATAATTTTAGTATAACTACTACAGTACGGTTAAAGTTTAAACGGACCACATGTGTTGTACAACTCAGTCAGTTTCACTAGGCACCGGCTTCCCATTTTTATTTGCAGCACTTGTAATTGGATTAATACTGGAGATTAAGATAACAATAATAATATATTCTAATTATATATACTATTATTATATATAATCATATATATAATAATATCCACCTACCATTTATTTTAGTTCCGGACGTTTGGAAACATCCCTCCCTCTAAATTTCTGTCCCTATTTTTGAACCTGGCTAATACGTGGGTAATCCGTGGCCCGAACCGTATACAACAAAATGATCTGATATAGATTTCTGACAGTGAGGATAGATATTCTAACAGTGAGGATAGGTAACTAACCTCTCCAATTGCTTCAACACTGTAGTGCTAAAAAACTAAATTCACCTAAAAAATTTTGTATACATATATAAATCCTCTAGCTTAACCTTTATTATGCCCAAGAAACTTGTACCTGTGAATTCTGAAGTCTTTTGGCTACCGACAACATGGCAAAAATTTTTTTGAATGCCATGTTACGGTACTTCGGCATTAAAATTTTTAACTACTTCGGCATTAAAATTTTTTTGATGTGGGGATGTGTAATAAAATTAAGCAATATTCTTTTGGAAAATTTTTCGGATCGGATCGGAGTGGGTTCGGATTGGCCAAAAATATTTTCGGATCGGATTGGTCGGAGTACGATTTTTTGAATTCGGAGTCGGACTGGGTTCGGATAAAATTTTTTAAGTTTGGATCGGACTGGACGCAATTTTGTACTCCGTTGCAGGGCACTAGTCTGAGCATCCTTCGCCCATACTAAATGTACTTGCACTCACGCACATGCCGTATTCGCCTCTCTCTTGTACGTACGTGCGCTGCTGCACTGCACTCTCCGCTAAAGCGGATATACCGCGTGCGCACACACTGAGGTGAGCTGTACTTGCTCTCTCGTCCCTCTCTCGCAGCACCACTCAGCGGTCATACGCTCGCGTTGGATGGAGTCCAGTCTGCGCATCACGTAGCTACGTCTGGCCAGTCCGACATGCCGCCAGCATTCTTTCACGCATTTACAGACGCTCAAGAACTGACTTCGCGAACACATTGCACTTTTTAGATAATAATATGCCAGACTGACATCTTTGTTCTCTTCCCGCATATCACGCGGTATTTGTTCAGTCTTTATTTGTCAATAAAGCTTCATCGTGCGGTACTTCTCTGTTACACGAAGAACCAGAAATTGGACCGGGTGCAATATAACAGAATCGCTCTGCCACGTTCACAAATTTCAGAAATTTCAAATCCGAACAATTCAAGTCCAGATTAAATCTCCAACAAATTCAATTTTGTTTCGATGAGTTGGCTTACCAATGAAAAATAAACCAAAAAGCACGTTGTGTGATCAGCCACCATTCATGTAGCGCGTTACATGGGGGTTGTGTAAGTCACCGGTGATCAAAATATAAAATCGTATGCTTAAACTTAAAGTGACAGAAATATGAAAAAATTCAACTACGAGGATGCGCGCAGTCGAACCGACAGTGAATTTGTTGTGCGAGAACAACCGACAGCCACGCGCACAGGCAGATTATTTTTCAAATAACAGCCACCCCGAGGAAGGGAAGCATCATTGGCACTGTATGCGTGCTACTGTTACTGTCTGTGCTACAGGTGACAGTCATCCGTGGATAGTTAGCGTTCGATTGCACTATAGGAACGCGTTTGCACTATGTGCATGATTGTCACCTTGTCGGTCGAGCTCGCTGAAAAAGTGAAAATGTATACTGTTGGTACATAAAACCGAAACTTTTAGAGTTAATTTCTTGATATTGTCCCAAGTTCTCAACTTGGCGTACCAGGACTGTCGTACTCGAATTAGGCACCATGTACTACTGGCTTCGGGTCCATTTCCTCAAAATTCTAATCGTAAGTGCAAAGCACATGATATAATGGCAGTATAATAAGCCAGTACTGTACACAGCACAAGTGTGAAGCGTTCCGTCTTGTACAGATAACTATTGTTGCGCCAATAATCCTCCATTTTTTAACCGTTTTAACAACCGTACCGTCTGTAGATGCCGACATCTTACCTGCGCAGTTGATGTTGAGTAAACACGTCCAAAAAGGACAGCACCACGATGCGCAAATTTACGTAAAGATCATCAAAGCGCAATTCACTAGGATCCTCCAAGTCTATAAGATAAAAACTATTGTATCACTACTCGTATAGTATGACGAGCCGTTCGTGCAAAAAGGTTTTATGTATGTTACGTTACTTAGGTTATACTTGTTATGATTGTCATGTTATTTGTGTTACACTTGTTATGTATGTAATCTTACTTATCTTGCGTTTGTTATGAATGTTACTGTACACATGATATTGTTTTATTCTTGATTTCAAATTATTTCTAATCATGACATTTAATAGTGTCATGATTAGAAATAATTCACTGGAGCAAAGTGCCAGTAGAAGTTACAGATCACATTAAAAGAGCAATTCTTGCGCAAAGTCGGCGAAGCCATTCTGCCGCAAGAGTTGGCGATAGAAACTAAAACAAATTACTAAAATTATTCTGATTTAATTGGATCAAAAGTAATGGCTTATGCCCTGCGGCTGTTGTTAAAATTTAAATACAAGCCCGTTTTCAAACCTGTAGACCGCTATAAGCGGGATATTTGAGAAACGTGAGCTTGAGCCAGTGCATTCGATGCATCCAGTGTAGAGTAGATAAAATCTAGCCTTACTGTGCGCTATTCACTGCGTCGCGCTTACAGCGGTCTACAGATTTGAAAACGGGCTTGTAGTTAGAAATTCAACAGTACTCGTATACCTAATAATTCGTATACTGTCAACAGATAGGAGACCTCGACAATTTTTAGAAATTTCTAATCCGGCAGGAATGGCATGAGAAGGTCTGTTTCACTTACTTACGTCGGTGGACGAAAACTGGAAGGGTGTACAGCCCGGGCTAAAGCCGGATAAAGCAGCATGCACAAGTTACAACATCAGAAAAAAGTTACAGCAGAAAAAAGCCCGTACTGCAGTAACATTGTATACAACACAGTAATACTCGCAAAGCAGCATGCAGTACCTACTATGGAACCATATAATTTCTGTATTGCCACGCCCAGTGGACCACAGCAGATGGAATTATTTCTTGAAGCATGCTATGGTAATATCTTTTTCCAAAAAATCAAACTTTTCTGAATTTACGCCCGGAAAATGTGCCCTGGTCGACCGAAGCGTAACGAAGGTCCTCTATGTTCAGCGTTCATGAAAATTGGGGTGTCTGCCGGTCACCGCCATCTTTTGCACATATGCGCGGCCTTCCTATAACCAAATGCGCATATGCGCGCTGGCCGTATATACCAATGTTGCTTTACTTAGTAAACAGTAAGTAAACCGGCAGTAAACAGTAGCCTAATATTAAACAGTAAATAAACAGTAAAGTTTTTTGAGAACAGTAACAGTAAAAGTAAAAGTAAGTAAAGATTTCGGGCTGACAGTAAACAGTAAGTAAACAGTAAAGGAAAATTGCTAGTTTTGTTACTACGATTTTTATTGGAATTTACAGAGATTTCAAGCGAAAATTGCTTGCTTACCTTCGCGCTTCGCGCGAAATTTGTCTTCTTGTAGCGAAATTCATTGCCAAAATCCAAATGAGCAAGACTGACGTGCAGTTGGTGCACTGCGCAGTGTGCACTCATGCCGTGCCCCGTGTAACTTTCCTTGGCAAAACAATTTTCTTGATTGAGATTTTTGGCTGGCAAAAAGTATTACTGAGTATTACTGGTTTACTTAGTAAAAGTAAATTTTGAGGCGAACAGTAAACAGTAAATAAACAGTAAAGGTTTGGGCAGAAAAACAGTAACAGTAAAGTAAAACAAAAGTATGCGACAGTAAACAGTAAGTAAAGTTCCAAAACTGACAGTAAAGCAACACTAGTATATACTCAAGCCGCTTGCAAATGTGGTGTCTGTCGGTCACCACCACCTAATGGCCCGCGCTCAAGCTCTGACTCTGACTCAGTCTCTGACCGCTCAAACTCTGACTCTGACTACTCAAAGTCTGACTCTGACTGTCCAAACTCTGACTCTGACTCTGACTGAATAACCTAAGAATAACTTAAAAAACCTAAGAAACTTAAGAAACCTAAGAAACCTAAGAAACCTAAGAAACCTAAGAAACCTAAGAAACCTAAGAAACCTTCAGAGTCAGAGTCAGACTTTGAGCGGTCAGAGTCAGACTTTGAGTAGTCAGAGTCAGAGTTTGAGTGGTCAGAATCAGAGTCAGAGTCAGAGTTAGAGTCTAGGCCCCGAAACTCTGATCCAACCTAATACAAACAGGTTATTAGGTTTATTCTGTTATTCTAAGGTTACTCTTAGGTTCCTAGGTTTCTTAGGTTTTCTTAGGTTTCTTAAGAATCACCTAAAAAACTTAAAAAAACTCAAAAATCTAAGAATAACCTGAGAAACCTAAGAAACGTTAACCTCAGAATAACCTAAGAAACCTAAGAATAACCTACGTTTTTGAGGTTGTTTTTAGGTTTCTTACGTCACTTTTAGGTTTTATTAGGACCTAATAGCGTTTAGCTTCTTTGAGCGGTTAGAGTCCGACTTTGAGTAGTCAGACTTTTTGCAGTCAGAGTCAGAGATTGAGCGCGAGCGCGGGCCGGAACGTAGTGAGATCGGTCGTGAACCAAACGAAACGATCATTCGTGAATCGTGAACCATTTGGCCTTTACTGTGCCACGGAATTGTGAAGCACTACGCAGAATGCTTGCTCGTTGTTCCTCGAGAGCCGCTCGTGTCGTGTCGCTCCGTGTCACCTGCCCGTGAAACTAACAAATAGGGTAACATGAGGTTTGAAACCCGAACGCGGCCTAGCTCGCAAGAAGTTTCCACACTCACAAAAACTAAACACAGCATACGCAAAATTTCCCGGTTTTTTATAGTTTCTGCGTGTAGCAAGTGTACAAATTATTGCAGTAACTGCAACAATTTTCGTAACGGGAATAGCTGTTAGCTTACTATGTGAAGTTTTTTACAGTACGTTTTACAAAAATCTGCAGAAATGACACCTGGAAGTTTAAACTTACTTTAAAGTTTAAACGTGTGCCTTTTACTCTCAAAAATTTAAACGCAAATTAAAACGAACTCGACTACAAACCGTAACAAACGGGATAAATGTGTTGCAAGCTGCAGCGGCTCAGCCATACTTTTTGGCCGTTACGGTAAAGTCAGCAGATCCCCACAACCTGCGCCAGGTGGCAGCTACTTACTTAACTCTGCTCCGTTAACTAATTTTTGACGTCCCATAGACTTTCCATGTTAGAGTTTTGAATTTTTTCTCAAAACTGTTTTTGTTCTTCTGAAATCTGATAACTTTGTACAAATCAACACATTCAGGGCTATCGAACGGTACTAAGATATTCAAGTTTGGTTGAACGTGTCTATGACTTAGACCCTGACACACACAAATATTGTGCACCTTCTTATTCTTTTATATAGATAGATAGATAGATAGATTTATATGCCTCCAAGATTTAGTTTTACATTATATTTGGCAGTCACTAACCATGCCAAACGCATGTAAAGCGTAAACATTGTGGCGTCGCGCGCCGGATTCTGTAATTTGGCGTAGCCCACGAAGTTACATTTTCCGCTGTATTTAATCGCGCTCATCATCCGGGCCGGCTTGTACAGTAGTGGAAAATTTATCTACAAAGGTCAACTGGCGCGTAACAAACGATTGCAACACAGGGTATTAGTTTAAGAACTGCTATAAATTTTCAGAAGATAATAATTTTAGGAAACTTTGAATTACTGAAATTTTTGAAAGCAATTCTTTTTGAAGCTTTGTCCTGTACTGAAACGTGCTCGTCAAATTTCTGTGAAGTTTAAACGTAAACTCTAACTAGGAAAGTGCACTCGCTTTAGGCGGGCACTGCTTGACCGAAGCGTAGCAGTAAATGTACAGATATTTTTTACCTAATTATCTAGTAGCACAAATTTGTAAAAGTATACTGTAGTGGCTCGCACATCTTGAACCACACAGTTGGTGTACGGGAAAAACGCGCATCCAATATACACACTCTAACAGGGCCAAACGCACGATTCCCAGTTGGTGTGCACTGATAAGTTTCTGATGTCTCACAATAACTGGTCTGGAAAACCTTCTTGAATACTAAGAAAAATTAGAGCTCTAATAATTATTAATTATATTTATGCTCCAAAGCAGCCAATAACTTAGAGCTTTGCAGTCAGCTCGAATTCAAAAACTGATTTGTTGTGGTTTTTGGGGTGCCCTGGTGGGGGTAGGGGCACATTCAGCGACAACATTCTACATATTATGCAGAACAATTCGAGCTCTCAGATACAGATCGTTTTCTAGGGTGAATAGCAATTTTAATGAAAAATGAAAAGGTTTGATTTATTGGGCAGACTCCAGAAAGAGTATTCATCTTAAAATCAAATCAAGCATTATTTCGCAGCCGTGAATTTTGCCCGGTTAGAGTGTGTATATCGGATGCACATTTTTCCCGTACACCAACTCTGTGGTTCAAGATGTGCGAGCCACTACAGTATTACGATTATGAAGTATGAAGAGGAAAGTCTGGAACGGGTGAGAACTCCCGGATAGATGAATATCCCGCTGCTCTCGGAACATAGCAAAAATTTTAAATGAGTTATTTCGGCCGGCAAAATTGAAAAATGCCCTGTACATCTCTACTTGAAGAAAAATATTTACGGTCTGAATTACTGTGGACTCCACAGTGTGGAGGTCCATCTGATCCGACGGATGCATGGTTGCACCGGTTACGGACGTGTTGCCGAGCAATACCTAGTTAAATTTCCGAATTTCATCTTTGACAAATCGGGTGACGTTTGCAAGTCTTGATTGTCTTACTCGTTGACCATTCGAGTATACCGATTGCGCCGGTGGTAACGTTCCCGGCGAAATACCAACATATTTGTGACACTTGCTCATTAATAAATACGGTTTTATAAATACTTTTACGTTAGACCACTGTAGCCCTCCATGAAACTTCATTGCTGTCAGGCCAGGACGCAGCCTTGTCCATGCCGATATTGCGCTTTTCACACCGAGCACCTGTGACGTTTACTAACCAGCCTTTGTCATCCAAGTTACAGTATTCGAAATACAGTACGAGGGGTTACAGTATTCAAAATAACTTTAGCAACAAATAGTGCAATGGTAGAAGGGAACCGCTGTATCGGTAAACAAAAAAAGAACAGACGGTTGCCACAGCCCCGAATATGAAGGTATCTGTACAGATACACCACCCTTTTAAGTTGGGTGGCGGTGACCAATGAACCAACACAATCGTATACTGGTGATGTAGATGAAAAGATACTTAAGGTATAATGTAAAATGCTAACCTTCAACTCAAAGAACTATTATATTCGACCAGATGAAGTCCCCTTGGGGTTGTCTGCTCTTGTGCCGTAATAATAATAATAATAATAATAATATCTCTGAAGCGTCAGTAGGCAGCACACCGCACACCGCCAGTATTGGCTACCTCGCCTCTGGACACGTTACCAAGAATGAAGGTGACCAGTGAACACCACATTCTTCATGTGACCTGGGCAAAAACGGCCAGCGCTCATCGTTGTATTTGATAGTAGAAAAACCTTGCGTATGTGCATTTTGAGTAGGGTAGCCGTACAAATAGGCATTAGGTGGGGCCCGCGCTCAAGCTCTGACTCAGACTCTGACCGCTCAAACTCTGACTCTGACTACTCAAAGTCTGACTCTGACTTTCCAAACTCTGACTCTGAATCTGACTAAATAACCTAAGAATAACTTAAGAAACCTAAGAAACCTAAGAAAACTAAGAAACCTAAGAAACCTAAGAAACCTAAGAAACCTAAGAAACCTAAGAAACCTAAGAAACCTAAGAAACCTAAGAAACCTAAGAAACCTAAGAAACCTAAGAAACCTAAGAAACCTTCAGAGTCAGAGTCAGACTTTGAGCGGTCAGAGTCAGACTTTGAGTAGTCAGAGTCAGAGTTTGAGTGGTAGAGTCAGACTTTGAGTAGTCAGAGTCAGAGTTTGAGTGGTCAGAATCAGAGTCAGAGTCAGAGTTGGAGTCTAGGCCGTCATGGGCCCGTCCACTGGGCGAAGGTGTGCTAATCAGTGCCTGCTCAATCAACATGATTGTGCCTATTGTCTACCATAGTGCCTTTGCGACCGAATTTTCATCAGCTGTTTTCGAAATGCACGACCGGCAATTTGGGGCGCGGAACCAAATACGGTTCCACGGTATAGAAGAGATAGATAGAAGTGTGACGGAAAAAAGTACTGAATTTTCCTACAATGTGTTGCGCTACCAGAGAATTCCTGATTACCGTGACGGTACTATGCGGCCGGAGAATCAGCACGCATGGTCCATTCTGTGTACCGATTTTGTGGGAGTGCAGAGCCATGGCGATTCTAATGATAAATATTCTGTTACTTGAGGTGTTTGCTTACCTTCCGTTGCCGCAATCACGTCTAACATTTCTTCGGCAATTCGGAGTACATTTTTTGGGTTGCTCGTGGTAACAATTGTAGTAAACTGGATAATAGCAGAGATCGAGTGCTCCAAAATGTCCTCATCAGTAGGGCCTCTACCAGGACCTTTCGCAACTAACACGGCAATACACGCATTCACCACCCCGAGAAACATGATTTGCTTGTAAGCACTGCTATACAAGAAATGACTACGAAATTGATGCATTTTCTGAACGCGATCGAGCGTGTCTGTGATGTTGGGGATAACGTGCGTGAACATGGAGAAAGGGATTAGCACGTGGCGAAAGGTCTGCGTTGTAACGGGCGGTCCGAGTTGTCCCTGGCGACGAATGCGCTTCCAAACGGAACCATTGCCGTCCAAAACGGAGTACCGAGTAACGGCGTTATTTGGCATGGTAACATCCACATTTAACAGACTAAAGGCTTCACACCAAAACCCATCAAAAATACGTGCAGGCCGCCATGATTCAGGTTCATTCTCGCCAATACTGACAAGGAGATCGACTTCATCCCCAAATTCCTCGGGCCGGATGCTTCTTGAAAGGCCTACCTTGTACAGCTTGTCTATAGAGATCAGCCTTAGTTGCTGCATAGTGCCGATGCGCAGCCAACATTGCTCATTTTCCATTCCACAAACATACCCTCGATATATTTTTCCGTCTTCCTCTTCCACAATGTCGACTGCAAATTGACTGTAGACACCTGTTACTAGGGGAGACTTGTGAATCTGAGAAAATACAAAATTGTCCATGATCTGTGCGCGTGTAGAGTAAGATTAAGTTCTACATAATTCTCTAAAATTATTAATATTAATAAATTCACGATGGCTGGGTTTTGTTTGATGTGCCTGTACGTTATGTATTCGCCGAATATTGATAACAAACACATTCGACTGATGAGAGGGATGGAGCCCAACTCGGGTAAAAGGAATGCTGTCAATCGATACCCTGCACTCTGTTAATCGATGCTACGGTATTGCTAGCGTACAGTATAATTGGCTGGCCTCTTTCTGAGGCTTTCGGCAAACGCTCCGCTTAACCATAGCCATACACTAACCATACTGTATGGTTAAGGGCGAGCGTATGGTAAGTGCGGATACCATACACACGCGTCGTATGGTGATCGACTTCCAACGGCTCCTCTTAACATTTGTACAATCAAACTGCACTCGATGTGCACTTTTATAATACAGAAAACATTAATGAACATAAATATAATTTTTTCGAATGATGCCGCGCCATGTAGTGCGAGAGAAAAAATAAAATCTGAAGGCACCTAGAAGTCAGGAGAGCGCTTCAGCTGAGCATGGCATACACTGCCACCTCCATTGCGGTCCACCACGACTCGATAAGGGATGGTTAAGGGATGGATATGGTGTCTATTGCCGAAAGCCTCTCGGCTTGCCATAATATATAAGAGGCTCGGCTTGCCATAATATATAAGAGGCTCGGCTTGCCATAGTCAAGTAAAACGTCGCCGTGAGTGGTTGTCCGCTTACATAATAGTAAGCGGTAGCTGCCGTCGCTACCTAATCGGTATCGACTGCTACGGCCACACTGGGCGGGGGCCATATAGTCGTAGCAAGACCAAGACCATATAGTCGAGCTGTTGTTACCAGCTGAAAGAATAGCAAGTAATGGCTAATGCCGACCAGTTAACAGTATCACTAAAATATATTTACGATTATTATCAACTTGTACAAGCCAATGCCATTTACATTCAAACCTTTCAAAGCCAAGGCCAGTTTTTCTAAAAACTTTTTAAAACAGAGCAAACAAATTATTTCGGCAAACCTCAACGAAACAGGCACAATGGTAAGCCGTTTGGAGTTTGGCACCGCCACGTTTGGTCTTTTCGTGAAGTCGGTTGGACTAGAGCGCCACTGACCGCCAGCCAGCGGCTGTAGCAAAATTTAATATTTTAGTGGTGAACGATAATATTACTGCCCATGGCCACTAGGTAACAAAATACAAAATAAAGAAAAATTTTGTAAAAGTTATTGGTACAAACTACGGTACCATGGTACGGTTACCTTGGTTGAATGGTACATCGGGTACCGGTAGCCGCCGTCACTAGCCGGTAGGAGCAGTGTCTCAGCCTTTATTGTCCTGTGGTTGGTACAATTCAAGATCGTCAATACTGTACATGTACAAAGTAATTCACAATTTCCCGAAAATAATAAACAAAGTGCTACGTAATTGACAACAAGGCAACATTTTGGCGCCGCAAAAAGGGCAAGCCGACCTGCACATCACAAAGGGGCCTAAAAAAGAATGAAATAGCATTAAAAATTTAAATTTAATTTAAAAAGTAATTTAAATTTAAAAGTAATTTAAAACAGGCAAGTGCTTGCAAAGCTCGATCCGTCTTTAACCTATCTACATAAATAATAGGAAGAATATATGGACAAAATAATAGGAAGCCAACCTATCTAAACCAGTTTCCAGGAAAGATGCCGAAATGCAGTACTCTCTGGCCTCGGCATATAATTGCCGAAGCATGCACCTTTTAATCCGAAGCTATTTTTAATCTGAAACGTACGCCAACTTGGGTCAAATTGCGTACCATGAAAACAACATGAACGACGCCAACAAAATGCTCTACGTTAGACAACAGGAAAGCCTCCGAATCTGCCAGCAGGCAGTAGCCCAGCAGGTGGCTCAGAGACTGTAGGAAGACACTTCGGCTACGACTACACAAGTCGTTACGTCGACGTCGCAGGCTCACTCCGTCGACTTCGGCAGCCGAACAGACGACTAGCCGAATACCGTTACTGGAGATCGGAAAACTGAGGGTACCAAAGGAGGAAGCCATGAAACAGTCCGTGAAGCTCGGCATGAGTTACTCGCAACCTCCCGTATCCCGTATCCACGGAGAATAATACTGCCGAGCTGGGTAGGATAAGCCGACAGGAGCGCCGACACATCGATTTCGCAGCCGACCTGGAACGACAGATTCGAGCACAGGAACAAATTCTGTGCCCGCCAGGAACGTCGACACCGACCACAAAGGCGGTGATCGACGAAGAATTCCGAGTTGCCCGGATGGATAGCTTAGCGGGACGGCGCAACGAGGCGCTCAACGCTATAAATGGATTGAAGAAACGATTGGCCGGACTCGACCCGACCAACCAGAGCTACCCGGTATTCGTAGCATGTCTCTCCGACCAGATAACGGATTGGAACAAGAAATTGACGGAGAGGGATAACGAGATCCGGGCGTTACAACCAGTGACGACTCAACCAGCAGTGGTCCCGACGGCCCAACTCTCACCCCTGATGGCACTCAATACGAACCCTGCGATTCTAGTTCCGACCATACAGCTGAACCCGACGCAGCAAGTCCCACAAGGACCACCCGTGGAACCACTCTCAACAGTACAGGAGCTGCATCAACTCCTACGGATGACTAACATAGTCATCGGTCGGATCAGCACAACCCTGGAAGACACACCAACGGGAACCGAAGAGTAGGCAGGCCTTGATAACGACCGAAGAGCCATTCATGACCATACGAAAGGGCTCCAATCATACCTGCATACCGGTATGCCGACGGATCCGACATTGTTGACGACAATTCGGACGAGAATGGAGAATGCTCGTAACAGAGTAGCTCAGCACCCTCAGCTTGCCCTGAACTTGGACGCGGCCGAACGACTGTCACGAAATGTACCGATACCCATATCGGCAGAGGTACAATTCATTATTGACGTCGGAGAAAGAGTCCTCGACAGATTGAGAATGAAGCCAGGCATGGATCGAGTAGCTCTTTCCAACACGGTGCAAGTAGCGAACGACCTTGGTCGGAGCATCAGAATGGCTCGCCGATTAATGGAACCCGGCCCAACCACGGACGATGAGGCTATCCGACTAAATCAGCATGTTCGAACGATTCAACAGATAACCCAGAGCGAAACACGAGGAGCCGAACAACAGGTCCCCCTGCTCAGATACCATGCTATGGCACTTCAGATTGGAGAGGATGGCCAGGCGACAGAAGTCTGGAAGACTATCCTCGACGGTAAAAAGACCATCCAGAACATTTACGAAGGCATCGCTAGCGGAACTTACATCCTACCGAACTGGATCCGGTGAAGAAAGTTAACGATCTCAACGCCAACATAAGGCTAGCGAAAAATCTCACGCGGTTCGGTCTGCCCACAACAGAGGTGGACAAATACCGACTTCGGACATTTATGGATCGAGTGAAGACGGCTGACCTGGCGGAGAAATCTTCGACCTCACAAACGAGTAACGTTCAACCGATGGCGTTATTACCAGGAGCCGTCATAACTTCGCCGATATCAACGCCACCGTTACCGACTACACAAGTCGTTACGCCAACGGCAAGGACGGATGATGGGACATCACCGGTAACTTTACCGTCGACTTCATCCGCGGCGGAGATGCATACGAAGATGCAAAAGGATCGCCAAGAACAGATGTTCGCCACAATCCATGACGGATGGGACTTACTGGAAGACCTCCAGAGATCTTTCATAAACGTGACACCATCGGACGGCGAAAGCATTAAGGTGGCACGGTAGACCCGATAGAAGACGAACGACCCGACAGAAGACGAACGTCCCCCTGCAAAACATGACCTGGAGTGGGTAAAAGAAGTCCATACCCAGTTACTGCGAGCAGACGCAGTCATCTCCGAACTTCGAGTGATGATGGATGCGACTGACCAACAGAGTCCGCAGTATTGCCGGATCGATATTGACTTGGGACACTTGGAGAACAACACCAAGGAAGCCCGCTTCATATTACGACCAACAACAGTATGTTCGGCAAAGAATTCCGAACGGCTGCAAATCCTAGCGGCCAAGATCCAGTTATTTGTGGACCACTTCTATAAACGGAAGGAGGAAGAACAGCGACAAAAGCTGAAAAGCCGACGTCCGCCAAGAAGCCTAAGGTGACACCTGTCAAACTGATGGAGGTAGTCCCACCGGCGAGTCACCAAGACGAGCCGATGAACGACTTACCGGTACCACCGCTAGAGGATGAAGATGAACCGATGGACACGTCGGAGGAAGTCGGAGCGACAGAAGCTAGTCGACCTAAGTCACTTGAACTACCAACGACTCTACCTGGGCTTTCACAAAGAGAACCTCAGACGGGTGAACGAACACCAGATAGTCGACTCATCCTCCAACCAGGTGGATCGGGATCACCTAAATTCGCGAGGAAGTCGAAGATGACCGACAACATCGAAGAGCACGGTCCCCGAAGACGTCTCTTCCCGTCGAAGTCGCCACCACCGGCCAGAATCAAGGAACAACTCTTGGAACTGATCAAAGCGAATCCTTCCTCAACTCCCGCAGAAGAAAAACCGAGTCAATCACGGAAATCAGCCGTGATCGGGGCGAAAGCTTTATTCACCCCAGGCGTCCATAAGAAGTTGGTCAGCCAAGCCAGAACGTTGGACCTTCAACGAATACTCTACGAAGCACAACTTCAAGGAGACATCCGAGATCGGACTATGTCCGATGACGAGCAGACCTCAAGTCTCAACTAGCTCAAAAGATCCACGATACCATCCAGGATAGGGATAAAGCTCTGAGACGGCTGCTTTGAGGTGCGGAAAGCAGGAGTTACGACAACTCCCGCTGTACTCAAACATTATAAAGACGATCCAACTCCTTCGTCACCCTAGCATCAACCCGGCAGCTTATACACTGGAAATCCAACCTCGGCCTGGACAAGAGGTAACAGAAAAGATTCCGATAACAATGTCGGATAGTAGCGAAGATGAAGAGAACGAAGACAACGTCCAAACAGACGATTCGGTTCAGCAAGAAGCGGCGCTACCACCGAAGGTATCCACGCCAAGACGGAGTCGATCGCCGGCAAAACAGATCTCGCCGAACCGATCGGCATCTCAGCCGACTAAACTGCCAAGTCAGCCAACGATGGAAAAACCACGCAGGTTCTCACCCCGGAATACTCCGACAAAACCGAAGAAAAGTCAAGAGGAGATGGACCCATCTCCCTCGGAAGCGCGAGTCGGATTACCGCTCGAAACGCTACCACAAAGGACGAAACGACTTTGGTACACTCCGGTCTACGTCTAACAATAGACGAAACTCGGACAAATGAGGCGGCAACCATACCGACCAAAAGGAGTACGACTAAGGAAAAACTACCTCAGGACTCGTCGCGCGAATTCCATGACGACCCTGCCTTACAGCACGTGAATGACTTGTCGATGTCGGAGAAGGATGTTTGCGTTGACATGGCAGACCCAGAAGACTGGGAATTGTGGCACTCGCTGAGAATCCGTCGCGCCAGCATAGTCGGACATACTACACAAGCTCGTCAGGAACATGACCGACTTACCTGGAAATGGTTGAAGTTATGAAGCGAATGGGAGAACACTACCGGGCGGAAAAGAGTCGGCCGAAAGCACTACAAGAGGCTACTACGGTCCGACACAAAATCACCGCTCCGGAACCCAAGTCGACTGAGAAGGCGGTACAACGACCCGTCATTAAGATGAAAGTTCCTCCGCCAACCAGACAACCTTCCGTGTAGATCGACGACGACCTTGCCTTAGACGTACGGGTCATCAACTCGGCCAACTGGACAAAGTTGTCACGGAAGGATAAACGGTAGGCTAAGAAGGAAGCGGCGAAACAACCCGCCAAACCGCAACCGACGGAAACTCAGAAGAAACAAGTGAAGTCGGAGACCAAGGAATCAACCAAACCGAAGTCGGATTCCACGGTGAAGACTCTTAACCTAAAGCACCTAAGAGGCATAAGTCATCCGACGGCCTCGATATCTCAGACGCCGGCCCACAAAGGACCGAGCAGAAAGAGAAAACTCGAGAACCATACGACCAAGAAGCGGCGAAGCCTAGAATCCAAGAAGTGATGAAACGGGCCGGCACACAGCCGACCAAATCATCCAAGCCGTCGACGTCGACTAAAGACCCCGAGCCCTCGACATCGAAACAATCCGATGAGGAATCCGACCAGATCTTGGACATCGAGACAAAGGATTCGATCTCCGACAATGGAGAGGAAGATCCATATGAAGGATTTAAGGGTGACTTGAAGGAAATCTTCAAGTATGGAGCGGACACCGATGAATCACAATGGCCGGCTCCAGACGACGTACGCCAGCGCCTCCCAGACGAACAGGAGAACGATTCGGTCGGTATAGTAATCCGTACCGTCCGAGTACACGTCGAAGTAGTACGGAGCATCGAAAATGCCAAGACAAACGGCGCGGACATTTACCAGCCCTTGGTGCGAGACTTGTCAACTAACATCCAAGTCCGAGGTCAAAGCGGAACATGGTTGACACATCAATTTATGATGCAAGTCGTCGCATGGACTCTGGACTTTGGATTAGCTGTAGGTGTCCACCGACAATAGGGACGGATGGCCGAGCTGCTCCCACCAGATGTCATTAAGGCGCTCAAAAGTACCAGCGGAAGAACTCGGACGACACACCGACTAGAATTGTACGGTGCATCGGATACATTCGGAACCCCCGTGGATCGACGTTGTTACAAATTGCCCGTGTATATAACGTGATGGACACAAAAAGGACAAAAAGGACAAAAAGGGGAACATTGACGACATCACCAACAACATAATAACTGACCGCATCGCATCCATGGTCGAGGAAAACACCCTTCAGACGACCAACGCGGAACGCGATGTACCTCTTCGGTACACCGTACAGGGATTCATACCGGAACAGCAACGGCGTGAATTTAACCTACGGATGTCTTACGTCAACAAAGAGAAACCCCCAGCGGGTACGGAAATTACCGAAGTATACAGCGAGACGAACGAACAACCGTCCGGTGAAGCAGCTGACATGCTGCATGTCGCTCGAGCGGCTGGACAGTCATCACAAAGACGAATCCAAGCTCGATCTCGAGCACCTTTCGAACCGACAACATATGTCGGCACGGCATCTGCTCCGACGGGACGAGCAAGTACGAGTACGAAAAGACGGTTTATACCGAAGGACGTACAGTCGCTTCCACCGACCTCACCCATGGAGACTTTGCCGGCGCCGGAGGACCGGAATCAACATAGAAGTCAGTCGAAATCGACGAAGTAAAAGAAGAAACCGACTAAGAAGAAGGAAGAAACGGACTCATCCGAAGACGACGATGAGGGCGATTCGTTCGACTACCATACACCAAAAAACGGATCGGATAACGACGACGACGACGACAACGGTAAACCACCACCGTCGGCTCCGGCACCCCAGGGCGAACCGGAGATATCGGATAAGCAACCCAAAGAAAAGGGCGGAGGCGACAAGGCCGACGATCCTAAGGAAGAAGAAGACGACGGTGGAGTATACGCCCCTCGTCACTACGGTTAACGGATACCGGTGACGCCCGATTCCGACCCACAGCGACTGTTTTCTGAATGGAATGAAGATACCATGGAACTCTTACCGGACGAGATTCCTCAGTTAGCCAATGTAAACGTGACGTACACTGGTATCAAAACTGCCCAAACACCGCAGCCGAGAGTCTCGGAATACGACCCCGGATGGATGTACACATTCGCCGCTTTGAAGGCTTGCGACGTGTAGACCGAAGTTTGCCACACCAAAGATCGTTTTTCAAACTCCTCCAACATTGGAAGGTGAATGAAATCGGCGGAGGCTGGAGACAACTAAGTCTCAGCCTGGTACGGAAATACTGCGACATGGGATATCATGCACGAAGACTTATACGTACGTACACCTTTCAATATATGAAGGATGGGTGCATGCCATCGGAGCATGCATGGAAATGTCTTGGCATCTTGAAGGATTGACCCGCGGAGAAATACTAAACCAACTTACGGCACGGTTTGAGTTTGAATGGAAGGCTGAAGAACCCCAGTTAACCGACCCTAAATACAAGGCCAAACCGGACCCCAACGAGCGGGGACGAAAGAAGTATCACCTGTAGGACGACTTGGAATACGTCCTGACGACGGGATTCTTCCAGAAAAGATTCGCCTCGAACACCGACGCAATCCAGGGTGGACGGCGGTTCGTGGCTTGTAATCCATCAACTCACCGTCATGGACATTTACCGAAGGAGCGACCGACCTCGGAGCAACCGACTGAGTCGACCGACTCGCTCCAAGTTAGTCGTCCAGAACCGACTGAAGCACCCACACGGGAATGAGGAGACGCAGAATGCGTCGGAGGAGTTGCAGAACCGACTACCTCCATTGACACCACATAGGCGTCATCGACCAGCAGAAGTCGACTTACCTGAACAGGCGACCACAAAGGCGCCTTGGAACAGTTCGAGAACCATCCTGGCCCGACCGAGTAATTATAGGGTCTAAAATCTATAGGACGCAACCGAGAAACGGTTTGCTTAACTTTTGTTTTGACAGAACCGTACGGAAGCTTATACGGTGGACTGCCAACAGTGCAAAGACAACGCGACACGTAACAACAACAGATTGACCTGCGCGGAATGTATTGTCTCATTCACCAACGAACGGACCGTGAACAGGGGACAACGACCACACGCCCAGGCAGCGGCTCTTTACATAAACGTCGTCGCTGAGAACCTGAGTGCGTATCGATATCTGGCGGGTGACGAAGCTCTGACTGACCAGCTAGAATCAGAATCACACGAACAGGACAATCTGGCCATAACCCACCGCCAACGGAGCCGCGACCCGAGATGGGAGGAATTCGGCCACCAGTCTTAACAGATAGACTGTGGAAGTACCGGCAGACCCAGGACATAAACGACAATTGGCGGAACAGAAGCAAATCAAGGAGGTCGACGAAAGAATCGCCTCCATGAAAGGCCATCCACCGCCGACTTCTTACGAACCGGAGACAAAAATTCGGTTACCGGCGCCCACACAGGGTCGCTCGGACACTGAAAAGCTGATCCGCAACATACGTGATGTCTTCGTCGGAGATCTACACCGACCGTTGAACGATACATCAGTGAGGATGATGGTGAATATGCCGGACGGAACTCAACAGCTGGTTACCCCTGTCCCGGCGACAGAGGAACGGTTGACGGCAATCCCACAAAGGGCTATGCCAGTAGTTACACAGGCTCGTCAACTGTTCCCCAGCAGATCCCGCAACCTGGACCTTCGGCACGACCAACTGCCTCACCGGCGACTCAACAGCAGCAGCGCCGACCAGCAAAAAACCTTGCCGGACACGACCTCCGACATAGGCTTGGCCATGATCTTCGACACAGAATCGAGGAACAACGAGCTGTCATCCAAGAAGTCGGCAAAGAGCCAACCAGATATCCACCAGGTAAACGAACCGGATCTGGAGAAACGGGAATCGGACTGACGGTCGACTTAACAAATAAGTCAAAACGTAACTTGGTCCAACCCGAGCAACAGCCGGAAGCCCATCAGGCAGAACCAGCGGCCGAAGCTCAGGCCGAACCGGCAGCTCAACCGGAGCAGATGGATGTTGACGTGGCCAATCAAATGGCACAACTACCACAAGTGGAAGTGCCGGCCCGAGAACATTCTCGTTACGACCATGCCCGACAACAGGGAATCGAGGTGGTCATGCAACATCCGACCGAACGGACGGACTTCATCATGAACACTCTGAATTATGAGGAACGACATCGCCCACAAGTTTGGCGGATGGTAGAGAACCTTCGGCAATTCCTCATCTGATCCGGATATCAGACGCTGCTGGAACAGCATCAATGGCAACCGGATTTTAACATGAATGCCCACACCTCCCCGAACGTCGAACATCCATATACCCGATCGAACGCGTTACCGTCGATGACCGACTCGGTCTTGTTGAACGTACCGCTGTACAGCCCGGACGGAACGCGTGCGATCCAACTAGGTGCTCGTGAATATCCACACGACGAGTTGGAAAGTATAGCCCAATACGTCATCACGGACGCCCACCCGGCCTTCGTTATCACCGCAACACGGACAGCACTGGATTTACTCCAGTATCTCCCAGAAGGGCAGGCCGACCTCACTCAGGACGGAATTACGGCATTCGTGCGATTTATTTTTGCAGCAAGGATTGGCAATTACTTTTGCCATTACACTCTCTACGGACTCTGTCAGAACGAGCTGATACCAGCGGCATTGGAAACCCTCGTGGCTCAACTTAACACACCGATGAGAAGCGTTATCCTTGCCGTCTGGATGCGCGACTTGCTTTATACCCACGAACCGACCTTACGGCCACATCACCGACCTCGGCCAGATGACGACACAGACGAAGAAGATTACTTCGGCGGCAAACCGCCGGTTAACGACCCATTGGGTTAAGATCGGGCTCCCACGTTCGAACCCGATCCCCTTCTTGGAACACCTAAGGGGACTTGGCGCCGAGAAAGGGCACGGTCGAGGACCGACCTTACTGAGAAACAGTCTAGCTGAGAAACAGCACCGTCGAGAGACGACTTCGGAGTGGACACTTTTTCTTTAGTTCTTTTTACATAAACCGATCAACCACGTATACAGCGGACGTCAACGTTGACTTTGCCAGTTGTACCGACTACACCAGTTGGCCAGATTCTTCGGTCGGACCCGGAAACGAGTGGTTAGACCTGGGTATTTCGGTTCTTTCACCGCACCGGTACGTCCTCCGAGGAATCCCCTGGAAAGAACTGGGCAAACCGACCGCAGTTCCCCAGTATGGCATGATCAGATCGCTCGAACCACATCTGCTACCATTGGGGCCAACAGAAGCACCCATCCGCGTTACATGGACCAGACTGCCCCAACGACCCCGATCAGCTATGAAGATTACTCCGGCCAACCGACTCCGGAGCATAGACCGAGAGGATTACGCTAACATTGCCTGGAATACAGCGCTGCGTGTATTCAAGGCGATGTTTGCCAGGCACCCGTGGCCAACTTTGGAACCGAGTAGCCGAGCAGCCTTCACCATTGTATAAGCAGATATCCCTCGGCCGAGCTGCCAACAGTGCAGAACGACTAACTAGAGGATTACGCCCATAAATTACGCCCATCTTGTACTTGGCTTATAAACTGGAGACATTGCGGACGCCGCTACATTAACCGACCACAAAGGTCGGTTGTGTAACCCGACCACAAAGGTCGGTTGTGAATCCCTTGGACTGCAACGACGCAGATCGCAGAGCCACGATTCGCTACCTTAGCTGACCACACAGGTCGAAAATGGTAGCCGACCAGAGAAGTCGATCTCATGCAATTATGCTCGCTTGCAACGTTAAGTGGCCTTTGTGGTCCCAGTTTACAAGATGAGCTCTTTGGTTGAATTCAGCCCAGTCCGTCGACGAAAAGCAGGTGCCCGCAACAGAAGCGGCCACATGTCCTTCGTCAGCGGCAAAGAATTTCCCTCGTGGACCTGGGTTGCCTACCCCCAACAGAAGCGGATAAGCGTCTCAGGTTCGCGCAAAAAAAATGAAGAATTAGATCTGATCACCTCAGGGATTTGCATGTGCATGAAAATTCAACCAAAGAGCTCATCTTGTAAACTGGGACCACAAAGGCCCCTTAACGTTGCAAGCGAGCATAATTGCATGAGGACTCCGACCATCCGGAGACATGTTACTCGGATTAACCGGCCAACAGAAGGTCGGATCCGACCCAAAGTTCATGTCAGGACGAAGTCGACTTGACGAGTGCCGACTAGCCCCACATGGGCGTAACGGTATAAGTCGTCTTGGTCGACCACGGACCACGACCAAACGGAGGTCGGAAATACGCGGCAACAAGTCGGAAAAGTAACCGGAAGTCGGACGTCGACCTCCTAGCGGAAGAATTCAGCTTCTGGACGGATGGAAACACATTTCACCCGACCATGGAAAGTCGACTATAGCCGACCTCGGAACACGGATAACCGACTTCAAGTCGGATACGTTGACTGACCAACATTTGGTCGGTTAACTCGGTCAATATGACGGAAGAAGACGGATAACCACATCGCGATCGACGAACTCGATCAAAAGGAACTTGTTCAACCCCACATGGGCATGATATTGCAAGTTAACCCTGATCGATTATCGAGGGATGGAATAACCGACCTCGAGTCGGATAACATTGCGACCGACTACAGGTCGGATAACAACGGAACGCATCAGATGGAAGTCGGCTGGACATTTCCATCGAAGAAACCAAAGATTTCCGACCGGACCTTCGAGTCAGTTCGTATCGGATGACCCCATAACCAGGCTCGTGGTAGCAGAATGAACGGTTTTTACCGACCACTTTTGAACGGGACCGCTGTACTTGACGACCACACAGGTCGCATGACTGTAGCACAGCCTTTTTCCGACCTGGACTTTAGGAATTCAGAACTTAGCCTGATTTCCATGCCGCCGGTCGACTCACTGGTAGCCGACCTCGGTCTAATCTCCTCCA